CACTCGCTGTGCTAGAGCCGCCCTCCGCGGCCCCGACAATCGACCCACTTCGATTAGTTGATTTTTTTTCTCCTCCGGAGAGTGTCGAAGGCGCACGACGACGACGTTTCCGGTCGGGCTGGGCTGACGCAGCAGAGCAAAAGGGATCCCTCGCGCGCACTTGAATAGGGCAAGCAAATCCCTCTCGTAGGGGGGACTCAGCTCGCTGCAGCCCGCATCCGGGTACATACCGAAGTAGCAGTGTGTTTGCTCCAAGTAGTGTGTCGCAGTGCGCAGGGCGGCGCAGAGCCCTACCAGACCCGGACAGTCAGTATCGTCTCCGTGGGAGCCCCGTGGGAGAGAGAGAGAGGAGGGGGGGATGGGTCATGAGAAGATTCCCTCATGGGGCGTCACGCGGGGGAGACCAGCAAAGGTCGCGGTGAGCCCCGATCACGAAGGCCCCCAGCCCCCCGAAAAGGAAGTGTTTTGTCCCCCTCTCCTCCAACCTACGCCGACTCGCAGAACGGACCCGGACAACTTTCTGGAGATTTAGGGATGAAATTGGACAAGGACGCGCCTCCGCACCGCCGACCGCGCCCCGCGGGCGGAATGGGCAAACTCCCGCCACCGGCTGAGCAGCAGGGAAGAGTGAGAAAAGGGGAGAGGAGAGCGAAGGGGGCGATGGGCAGGTAGGGGAGGTTAGATGGGTGGATGAGGGAGGTAATTCCGCGAGCGAATAGGTGCGGGCCGAAATTCCAGCCCTAATGGCCTGTTTCCGGTGGGGCCAGTCAGTGGTCTGATGAAGAATAGGAGCCCCCCACCATCCCCCCCTCGCCCCACCGCAGTACCAGGGCACCACCACCCCCTCCTTCCACCAACCTTACTCTTCTACTCAGGGGCGCCCGACTTCGCGCCGAGTTGGCCGAGAGAGAAGGGGTCACCACGTAATTTAAGTTTCCTGATTTTTCAATGGTCGCGTAAATTATTCTCCACTCGCGGGCTGAATGGCGGGTGCGTGGCGCACCGCCGCGAGTGTTTTTAATTAAGCGCGGCGCCCAAAAGGTCCGAGTCGCTCTCCCGCGGCCGGGAAGCCCGGGGCCGCCGCGACGCCCACACTTCTCTATTTCCACCCGCCGGGCCTTTCCAATCGGCAAAGCGGCGTGCGAGCGAACACCACTCCGTCGCCGTGGTGACGTCTGCGGACAGCGCAACCACATGTTCCGTCTCCGTCCGCGGGGCGTGGGAGAGTGGGGTGAAGGAGGGGGGAGAGAAAGACACATACACTCTCGGGCC